TCTCTCTCTCTCTCTCTCCACCACAAACCACCGTCATGGCCACCTCGTCACCACCCCTAAAAGACGAGCTCGACATCGTGATACCCACAATCCGTAAACTCGACTTTCTCGAGATGTGGGGCCCTTCTAACAACCCTAGCTACTACCTCATCATCGTCCAAGACGGCGAGCCGACCAAGACCATCAATGTCCCAGATAGCTTCGACTATGAACTCTACAACCGTAACGATATCAACAAAATCCTCGGCCTCAAAGCTTCTTGCATCTCCTTCAAGGACTCCGCTTGCCGGTGCTTTGGCTACATGGTCTCTAAGAACAGCAGTACATCTTCACCATTGACGAATGACGATGATTGCTTCGTAAGCAGTTTATTATTTGTTTGTATGGTTGTTATTTGTTCTTTCGAATTTTACGAACCGCAAAAAAATTAGGTCGCCAAGGACCCCGGGAAACAAATCAATGCCCTCGAACAACACATCAAGAACTTGCTATGCCCGTCGACCCCGCTTCGACCCGCTTTTCTTCAACACGCTCTACGACCCTTTTCGGGAGGGAGCCGATTTCGTGCGCGGGTACCCTTTCAGCCTTCGGGAGGGCGTGCCAACGGTCGTTGCACACGGGCTCTGGCTAAACATACCCGACTATGTGTTGTAATAAAATTACATGTGAAAAGAGAATTGTATTATGTGGGAATCCTTAGATATGATGGCGTTGTTAGTAAATGGTAAAATTAATGTTGCAAATGTGAATGTCCAAATTCAATGAGAGAAAACCTTAACCGTGTTCGGTTTTGAGATGTGAGAATGAAACTCAAAGTTTCATTACTAGTTTCATTAATTTGGCCTTAATGAAGGCATTAATGGAACACCTCTTCATTGAATGGAAGCTAGCTCATGAGCACTATAAATAGTGCATGGATGCTAATGGGAAGGACACACCAAGTGAAGGAAAAAGAAAAGAAACATAAACATATATTCTCTTTCATCTCCCACAAGAAGTCTAAGAAAATTAAGGGTTCTTGGCGACTGAGCTTCTGATCGAGGTGAGTGTGTTAGATAGTGCAGTCTTCACACTTTGAGCCGTCTTATCCTGGGAGAAAAGGCGTAGTACTCGTTGCACAGTATCGGGGCGTCTGTTTCTTCAAGGCAAACAGATTTTCTGTGATTCGGCTATTTGTGTTCTATGATAATATAGAACTGTAAGTTAAGTTATTTATTTTATAATAAACTTATTTATTTACTAATAGAAATCTGGTTTCATCTCACGTTCTCGTGGTTGATGTTTGTGGTTTCTATTTTCAAATTATAAATACATATATGTGTTGAAACTCGTTTTTAATTCGTCTTTTACAATCATTATTTTTTCCAACACTATGATGCCCCGACCCAGCTTGTCAAGCCCCTCGAGCGAAACACAAGGTGAGATTTATGAAATTAAAAAAAAAAAAAAAATTAGCAACTGGCATTTTTTTACATAATAATCATTCTCACGTATCAGATCAACAAAATTCACTATTCATTTACTCATATATATATATAATTAACTACATCAGTTCTAATAACAAATCAAATTCAATCATTAAATTCTAAATATTATTTAAATACAAACTCAAAATTCAGCTCAAATCTTACTCAATCAGCTTTAATCAAATCTAGCTCACTTTTATCCAATTAATCAAATCAAACCCAAAACATTCTACTTCCAGTCGCACCCCACCTTGGGACGTATAATCTTCACACGAAACTGAGTTCAAATATGATTCTGAATGATTTTTTCTAGGTATGTCGATGAGGTGTTGAGAATTCCGAAGGGCACTCTCTTCCCCATGTGCGGTATGAATCTAGCGTTCGACTGAGGCCTCATTCCCAGCTATGTATTTCGGGTTTATGGGCGACAGGCAGCCGATCGGGCGTTATGATGATACGTGGGCTGGTTGGTGGGTACACGAAAAAAACAAAAAAAACAAAAAAAACAAAAAAAAAATAATAATAATTGTACAAATTAACACTTGTTGATTTGATGTCTTTCTCACATCACTCTCTAACATTATAATAATCTCTCGACATGTTGGTCGAAAATGAAGGTAATATGCGATCATCTAGGGCTCGGTGTGAAGACTGGACTGCCGTACATATGGCATAGTAAGGTGAACAACCCTTTTGTGAGCCTGAGGAAAGAGTACAATGGCATATTTTGGCTGGAGGAGATAATCCCCTTCTTCCCGAACGCCGTTCTTTCCAAGGACTCGACTACCGTTCAAAAGTGTTATGTCGAGCTAGCCAAGCTGGTTCGGGAAAAGCTCAGGAAAGTCGACCAGTATTTTGTCAAGTTGGCGGATGGTATGGAGACGTGGATACAGGCGTGGGACCAGCTCAACCCGGGTATTAACAAGAGCTAGACAGGTCGGTGTTTGGGTCGTTTTGAGTCGGGGAAAATTCAGGGCCACGAGTTGTAATCTGGTTATCTTTGTTTTTTGTTTTTGGTGTTTGATTTGAAGGGACGATGTATAGGAATAAATTGAAAACTGAAAAGGGAAATGTGGTTTGTTTGGTTGAGTTGTTATGTGGTATGCTCGCAAAATAATTGCTGAACGTTAAAAAAATAAAAATTGAAAAAGAACGCCGTTGCCGGGGATCAAACCCGGGTCGCCTGCGTGACAGGCAGGAATACTCACCACTATACTACAACGACTTGGTTGATGGTTGGTAGCATACATTTTAAATAGTCGTAGACTGCTTGGAATTTACCATAATTGATATTAAGATGAGCTTTTTTGCATATTAATATTAATGAAGTTTGTTTGTAAAGACTAAAAAAAAAAAAATAACAAAATTTGATAATCTGTTTGTGTTAATTTTGCAAATAAATAAAGATTGAATTCTTATAATTGATATTCTCATATATGACCAACTTCCACTGAAAATAATAATAATAATAATAATAATAATAATAATAATAATAATAATAATAATAATAATAATAATAATAGATAGGCTTTACCAATTGCAATTTTAAAAATAAAACTAGTACAGAGCCCGTGCGATGCACGGGATGCACAATTTTAAGGTCATTTATCCATTCTTATAATTATAGAAATGAATAAAAAAAACGTACGGGATATATATAGTACGTGACCTGTAATAGGCCAAAATGTGAACACGGGTGATGCACGGGGTGCACAATTTTAAGGTCATTTATTAGTACAGAGCCCGTGCGATGCACGGGGTGCACAATTTTTTAGTATGTGTAATAAAAATACATACCGTATGCACGAGACAGAAGCACTAAATGAGTCATTTCCACAGAGCTTGTCCGTTAAGGTAGCTCCTGAACACGGGTGCACAATTTGTAGTACGTACTATAAAATCAGAACAGATTTCCATACAATTAAATAATAAATTAGATAATAAATAATGTCTTTTTATTTTAGTAAAGATTTTACGTACTTTATTTTTTTACTTATCGGATGTTATGAGATTTTTTTTGTTAAATCGATTTTATGGAATATAATACAAATACAATTAGAGGATTGAACAAAATCAGAACAGATTTTCATACAATTAGATAATAAAAAAATTAGATAAGGAAAAGAAGGAATTAGATAAGGAATTTTGAATTTGACTTTTTTTTTTTGGATAGATAGACTTTACGTACAAATTTTGACTTCACTGATTTTATGAGATTTATTTGGACAAAATCAATGTTAATATGGAATAAGACAAATAAATATAGTCTTTTTATTTTAGTAAAGATTTTACGTCTTTTTTTTTTACTTGTCAGATGTTATAGGATTTTTTTTTCTTAAACTGATTTTATGGGATATAAGACAAATAAATAAAATAATTAAATAATATTTTGGATAGAAATAGCAATGCATTAATTACGTTGACTTTTCAATCTACTAAATTTAGTAAATAGGATACCTTGTATAATAAGTATAGATATATAAATAAATAACATGCCAAAATTTTAAAGAATAATTAATGTATTTTAATTTATTATCTAACCATCAGTAATATCATTTAATGATGTGATCATTATCTCTTAAATGATAAATAAAATATTAATTTAAATTTTTTTTTGTTTTTTATATACTCAAATAAAAATTAAAAAATACTATCAACAAATATGAATTATAATATATATCAGTAAAATCATTACAGAAGTTAATAAAATTATTTAAGGAAAAAATCTTTTTAATCATATTTGAATAGGAAATGTATAAATGCGAGCAATTAATGCATATAGTAAAAAGTTTCTAAATAAAGTATGTATTAAATGTGAGTTGACTTTTCTTGCTATTATTTTTGGTAAATAGTATGGCTTTTAATATAAGTATAGATACGGCAATTCACTCGAGGGAAAAAAAAAACCGCAAAACTGGTAACAAAAGTATCAGGACTGTGATAGCACTTGGGAAACTAAAATTCAAATTATAAATCAAAAAAACATTTCACAAATTCACCATTAACAAGCATAAGCCCAAACAATTGTCCTTTTTATAGTACCTCCCTGTAAACAAATGAAAGATCAAAAGATAAAATACAAACAAGAAACAATATATTTGTGGAGAAAAAAAAAAAGAAAAAAGAAACTAAAAAAAAAAACTAAAACAGCCCCTCAATTTCCTATAGCCCAATGTCCTAAAACCTTCTCCTCTTCTATCAGTGTTCATCTCACACAGTTTAGCCAATGCCGAAGAAGAATATTATCGTAGATTCGGAGATGATTCTTCGTTCGTCTTCTTATGTTTGGCCGGTTGCTCTTCTTCACCTTCTTCGTGTTTGTGAATTCCATTAATGGCCTCAGGGCCCAAAAGAGAAACGTGTTTGCTCGTGATCTGGCGGCCTGCCCTTACTTTGGGCCCCCAATATCTTTCGGGATTGGGAAGGAATCTCGCAACCTTTTTCGCCTGAGCCTTGCTAAGCGAAGCCACGGCCCGCATAAAATTTGCCTTTTGGAAAACAAAATTAGGAAACAAAAAAAATAACAGAAAGAAAGGATTAAGAAAAAAGTATGAGCCTTTGATATTCGAAGAAAGAATGAAAAAGATACGATTTAGGTTCAATGCAACAAGCAACAAGAAATAACTGGGATTTGTTTAAAAAAAAAAATACTACGTACACATTTGACATTTGTTCGAAAATGTAAATTTCATGAGACTACAAGTAATGTAAAACATATACTCAAAATTTTAGCCCTTTCTTTTTCTTATTATTGTCCCATAATACAGAGAATTTTGGTTTGAAGCATCCAAAATTATCTTGATTTATTTAACTAAATAAGAATAATCAGGCATTTTATAGACTTAGTCTGCTGGAAATCATCAAAGATGACAATTGTTTTTTTCTGTTTTTTTTTT